AATGGATTTGGGCCTCTTTAAGTTGGCCATTAACGTTAAATAGCAAATTCAAGCTTCTTCGATACTCTTCCCGTCAAGGAAGTGCTTAAACGAGAGGCCTGGCCTTGCTTGCTCATTGATCCACTTGGTCAGGAGGTGTGAGGAGCCCAACGAACAAATCCAAATCTACTTAAAATTCTAAGGGATTGGCCCGATATGAAAGGTGAAGAAAGTAGGCCTCGTAAAAGGGGGTGAATAAAAAGTTGTATACTTTATGATACGGAACAATTTGCTTCATGCAGGCAACGTAGGAAAAAAAGATGAAATATAATTTTAGTCATCTTGAGTTTAATTTTTGGTAATTCTTTGGAGCTAGATCTACGAAGAATTTATATTTTATAAATACCCTAATACCTATGTGAATGTCTTATTTTTTAGTGGATCGAAGAAAAAATTAGTCGATGTGTATGTAAGTTGACTAATAGACTCTTGAATGTTGAATAAAAAAAATAAAATAAAAAAAGCTAACATCCTTATCTGATAGTCTATGGCAAGGTAGGCACAACGTTTTTCTACAACCATGTATTCATTTGGTGACTCTAAAGGTCAAGTGTGCCCTAACAGTAGGATCGTCAGTAGTAAAAAAAAAATGAGTCGTAAATCTGCACGTTACAAGTTTCAATCTTTCTAATTGCATAAAATCTGAGTTTAATTAATGATCAACGTTTGTGATTACATGAATCACGGGGCCCACCCGTTTTATCTCTTCCAAAATGAATTTCTTGCAACCAGGAGTTTAAAAAATGCATTATTGGGACGATGGTTCATTAGGAAAGAATGTCTAGTCATGTATTTGCTTAGAAAAGCTTAGTTAAATTAAATGGATACCCCTAAACATGATGACATCATGGGGCATGCTGGATGTCCTATTTCAATTTTAGTGTGAACACTATTAAATTTTTTGGAACCTTAGATATCCGCTTATAGTGATTCAATGACTTTTTTTTTTATTTTTTGGGAGGGAGAGAGAAAAAGGAGACTTGAACCTTGACTTTAAGTAGACAAAACTTTCACAAGACGAAGAATACCATTAAATTAAAAGCTCATTGATGTATAGTGACTCAATGAATTGACATTAATCCATGTTATTTATGAATGGGCTAATATATATTTAACGATATCAATAGAGTTTGACTTTTGTATATATAAGTAGACTATCCGCATATACTAGCGAAAAGGTAGAGAATTATATACCATTTACAAATCTAAGCTTGAAAAATTGTACACCAAAAGGTAAACAATTTTCGACAAAGTTCGGTATACAACTCAAATAACATGATTGAAATTCGAAAATGATACAATCTGTTTAATCAAGGGGTCAGACAATTGCATACACAAATAGCTTTATTTTTTCTAAAATTAATCGTTTAATTAGTATTGTATAAAGAAAATGTCTCATTTTATTTTACTTATGGATATGGTATTTTAGAAATTGACATAGAATTTAAGTGTTTTTCTTTTGGTTTTGGTAGGATATGAACCATATAGATTTTCAATTTTTGAGGACCAATTTGTAGGGAGTTCGGTCAAGAGAGAATGGGGCTTTAGTTCGTCAATTGAATACGACACAACTTAACATAATAATATCGAATATAAAACGATCCAAATTAACACCACAATACCCGATTCTATTGCTACCCTTGCCCAAGAGGATAATTAAGGAAGCATAATGGATTAGTTAGGTCGTCTTAGCCTAAACTACGAGGTATATGACTAATGAAGCACTAACTAGATCTTGTAATACACCATAAAAATCTTTTTAATTGTGACATTGCTTGCTTGTGTAATTAAGCAGTTGCATCTAACAACATTGGGCCTATGTTTGTGTTTTTTCCTTCCAAAAATAACAAAGCATCGTCCTAATGCACTCGTGACAATACAGTTAACTTGGGATGGAATATGCATATCAATTTTAGACGGCACTCATGAATGCGACATAAAAGCTACATGGAATTCATAAGTTTCGATTTAGCCTGAGTGAGTTTGGCTGAGAAAGGGGTAAATTCATTAAACTTGTCAAACAAATGGGTCTGTAAGAACCAAGCAAAATAGGACATTGACCCTCTAAACATGATTTATACATGACATGAACCCGACTATTTACTATTATAAATAGGGTTAATTACAATTTGTCTCCTCCAATTTTGTCCCTTGTGACAATAAGCTCTCTGTAGTTTCTAATGTTGCAATTTGCCCCCTTCAAATTTCAAGTAGATTAAATTGACTAATAATAATTGGTTGGACACCTGAAAGAATTATTACACCCTTCACCTTGTACATTATTTTTCATATTTTTTTTCTTGAGATACTAATCTTGTTTCTTAAAAATAAGAAAACGAAGTAGTCAAGACAAAAATTATATCTTTTCAGACCAATACCAACACACTACACAAACCATATTCACATTCACCACCTCCGCCACATCAGAGAAAGGGGAGAGTTTCTACTGAAAAGGGGAAGGAAATGATAGTTAACATCTCAGGTCAGAAAGGATGAAAGAGTTTTGAGTATAGGTGGTTACGGATTTGGTTGGAGAAGTAATGATATTTGATAAAGGGAGAAAAATCGGTGCAAGGGTAATTATATTTTTTAAACAAAGTATGGATCATGTGAATTTGACATGTCTAATTTTCGTCAATTTTTTTTGTCCGAAAAATAATTATTGGAGTTAATTACAAAATATTCCAACTTAAAATGAACTATTTATTGAAATTAAAATCAAAATAAATTGAAGTACTTCAAAATATGAGACATTGAAATAGTATCCCTTGAATTTGTATCATCCAAGATACGAATCAGTTTTCTATTCATTTGGCTGAACTACGGTGGGATGTGAATCTCATGTCTCTTTCTGCTAACTGATGAACTATTCCTGACCCACAAAGGATAATAAAGTAGTGATCAACGTTGCTTTCATCGCCAAAATTCAGATCTCTGAGTTCGTTTTCTCAACCGACCATTGATGTTTATGGCCTACCAGGTTGCTTTTTATACGAATGTGAGACGTCAAATCTTATGTCTACACAGCAGATTTTGTGGCTTCTGAGCCTTTGCTGCCTTTACCAGCCATGTTCTACTGTGTCACTGGTAAAGTAGGTGGCCTTTGTATATGCATAATAAGTATACAAATGTTATACTACACAGGTAGTAATCTAATTGGTTTTCAGCAGAGGGTGAAAGTCATGTCCTCTTCCGGTGATTATGAGTTTGACGTCGTTTGTAGTAATAGTTTTTGGGAGTCAGATAATGTTGGGAAGGTTTGAATGTTCAATTTGTTCTTGGTGGTACTATAGTGACAAACTGGAGTATTCTATGTCAGTAGCTATGGCTTAAACCGAACATTCTACAGTGGATGGAAACCTTAAGGTAACGTCTTGAGAGGATTGTTACATCTTGTCGTCCCTGACTACCCTTATTCCTTAGCCGAAAAAAAAGTATGCAGATGCTATGATCAATTTAAAAAAAATCATTTCTTGTACATAATGCTCTCATTTATAGCCTAATTTAAGAGAAATAAGTACTCATATTAGTTTGAAGATGTTGATTTCCGAATACAAATTCACGACGTATAATTTGGGAGAGTACAGTTGCTCAAAGTTTATTGATTTCTGAAGTAGGTTGGGGATTCGAGAACGTATTCCAATGCAGTTGTTTATTAAAAAAGGTCAACTGTGGCACAAACCATGCTTTCATGCAATTTAATATCTTGGGTTCTTAATTTGCATTGCAGTTTTGTAACTAAATTGCGGTTAAATCGTGCGAACTCAAAGTTTATACATATCGTGTAACATTATTATTTTGACGGGTGTCGAGTTAGATACGATTCAACCGGCTCGTATTGATGTTGATCATTATTTTGAACCATGGATTAGATACATCATATTAGAGTTTTGTTTTTAATGTCCCTAACGAGTTGGTTAGATCCGTCGCTGTCTCACTACCATAGCAAGTGCGGAAATACACATTCCTTGATGGTTTTTTGACCAACAACTAATATTTAGTTTTTTTTTTTTTCTCTTTCCTCATTCCATCAATTCAGACCATTAACCTAACACTAATGATCTGTACAGGTAATGGCAGTAGGTTACACATTAAATACTGAAAACCTATGATTTGTGTGGTTAAAATGAACACCAGTCCTTGTTAACTCTATAGTCTTATTGACTATAGATTATAAGATGGGGTTAAGGCAGCTTACTTTTCTCAAAAGTATAATTAAGAATATAAAGGCGGCCATTCCTTTGTATCTAGACCCTTCTTTGTAGGTAAAAATATAAACTCTACACTTAAATCCCACAATGATAGTCTAAAGGTTAACAGTAGATCAACTCTTCTAATAAGCAGTCAAAGAGTACTCTATTCTTCTACGATCAATTGCCTCAGTGCGAATCAACCGCTCTGAATTGAGAGTATCACTTACCTTTCTCATATCCGGTGCTCTTCCCTGATTTTGTCAATAGCGGGCATATTGTGCACTGAATACAAATTTTTTCCAATCAGTAGCCTCTCATTGGACATTTTACTATGTACCAAATATGAGCAACTCAACATTCTAAGTACTTAAATAATGAGCAACTCAACATTGTTTATGTCCCTTTAAATACATTATTAGTACATTGTATTAAATGTATATGAAGCCACTGATTTGAGTTCCCAACAATTGTCCTTTCTAAGGCATAGTTATCATAATCACATGCTCATACATTTAATAGAGAGTAAACAATTCAATGGCTAGCGTGTTCATGTGTAATATAACAAAAAGGGTCTGTAATCCACCCTTGAAAGATAAATAACTCACAAAGGTACACTTTGGAAATTTGTCTTGTTTTACTTGGAAATTGCCAGCAAAGCTGTACCCTCTGTACATACCACTGAATCCAAGTAAAAGAGAATTATAAAAAACCATGGCTTTTTGTATCATGCCACACATAAGTCAGAGCGAGAGAGAGCTGTGGATAAAAAAATTTTAGAATAGAAGCAAAATTTTATTTAATCCTCTCTGTTTCTCAAAGAAGCATAACAATATGTACACAAGAGCTTCTCCATTCTTGGTTATCACCTCATATTTGCATCAACGAAACTACAAACAAGGCACCAACTTAAAGAAAAAGGAAAAGCTCTATACAATTTCTTACCAACTTAAAAGATAATGCAGGCATTTGGATTCTCTTCTATGCTTTCATGACCATAGTAATATGTGTTCATTGGTGGATTATATGGCCGGTTTGGCATTGCGGTCGTTGGAGGATAATATGGTCGGTAAGGCAGTGCGTTCAGTGGAGGATAATACGGCCTGTAGGGCATGATCCCGACCACTGGTTCTGGCTCAGTCTTCTTCTCTTCTTCCTTCTTCGGCTCTTCCTTCTTGGGTTCTTCCTTTTTGGGTTCTTCTTTCTTAGGTTCCTCCTTGGGTGGTTCCTCTTTCTTTGGCTCCTCTTTCTTCGGCTCCTCTTTCTTCTCGGGCTCTTTTGCAGGTCCTACTAAGATGATGGCTGTTGAAGGCCAATATTTGCGCAACTTGCTCACAACACTCACAGGATCCACTGTTCCAATGATTGTGAGTGTCTTGCCCTTCATGTCCACCAAGAGAGCATCAATTCCTACAAAATCACAACTTCAAAGCTGTCATTGAACACTACTTAATCCTCTAGTTTTTTGCTCTCCTTGAAAAAGAACCGAGCCATCACACCCATCCCGCAGAATAAGAAATTATGTCAGAACAGATCCAAGTCCAATCCATTATAATGTCCCTCAATTTTTACCAATGGTAGATCATGCACCTACCACTTATACATAGATCACGGTCGACTTCAGTAATATATTGTTGAGGACAATTGAGAAAAAAACTATATCAAAGCGATCCAATTACAATCACCATAGTGCTAGAATGGTATTGGCAAAGAATATATTATCAAGCTAGCTTTCCTGTTACTCAGAAAACATTTTTGTAAAACATCTTGGCTTTCTCCTAGTTATATGCCCTTTAAAAACAAATCATATTTAGAAACCAAAGTTTGTGCAGCTGTGGAAACAATATCTTCTATGGAATCCCAAAATTATCCTAAAAATCTCTCCTTGATCTCGACCACTTGTTTAACTCATTGAAAAATATAAAATTTTCGCCCAAGTAATTGCACAAATGCAGTAAACTGTGTTCATCAAGTAAAACATTCTCTAAAATAACTATATGAATGCAGAGAATTTTCTTTTTAAAAACAGCTCAAGCAAAAAAAAAAAAATTGCCTCCACCCCTCATATGGTTACCCAAACAAAATTGAAGGAAAAATTGTAGACAGCTCAAGAAATTAAGAAACTCCTTTTCTAAGTAATATCCCAGAGAATCAAAAGATCTAATAAATAAATATTATGTAAAATATGCAGATCCAGAATAGTCAAATGAAATTTTTAAAGGCTAGCTTGATACCTGTAAGAGTGGAAACAGTCTTCAGGGCCTTCCTTTTGTCTTTGTCATCATGTAAATCCAACCTCAGGATAAACTTCTGTTAGAACAAACAAATTGAAGAACAAATAATCATAATAGAGTCCAATGAAGAACCACCAATGATTCTTGAACAGACCAAGCCAAGGTTAATCAAATGAATTAAAGGATCAAATATAAACATAACTACTATGAATCAAACCCACCCAGTTGAAAATATTATTAGACTTGAAAATCTAGAAAGTTTCTAGGAAGAAGAAAGTATAAATTCTCAAAATCTGAAAGGTTCAAAGACAAAAAGTGGATTTGAGAGCTTGCCAAATAGGCGGAGGATATATTCATGACCCACATAACATATATATTTGAGGAATCAAATTAAATAAGAGTTTCAACAGAATTTGCAGCAAAACCCATCAAGAATTGTATTAACAAGCAGAAAAAGTTTCTAAAAAAGAAAACCAAAAAAGTTTATAAGAATCAGCACAATTGTAAAGATTATTGAATAAACTGAAAGAGAATCAAAGATTCTGACCTTCATTTGGGTGGCTATTGAGGAATCTGACTGATAGCTGAAAATGCTACTGGGATCAGAACCTGAAAACCAGAACGCTGAGAAGATAATAGAGAGAGAGACAGAGAGATTTGGTAATGTTACAAGGAGAAGAAACGAATCTGAATAATGCTCTTTTTGAAAAGGATAGAGAGAGGTTTGGACAGACCAAAAACCATCAAAATCCGAATCAAAACAAGAATTGCAGAGTAAGAGAGAGAAAAAGTAGTACAAACTACAATGCGTGTGTGTGTGGGAGAGCGAGAGAGAGAATCAAAATACGTTTGTAAAGGAAGGGTACGTCTGACCGGTGGAACTAACAAGGCCAGCAGTTAAGTAGAAGGCGAAGCAGTAAGAACACTCTCTCTCTGTGTCGCCTGTAGTGCGTTAAATGCACGCGAACCTTAGGCGCGTGATAAAGTTTTGAATTACAGTTACTGAATTAGATAATAGCGACATAGCAGGTAATTCAAGTGGGTTCCAGGTGGCGGGAATCTCTGCTCTCGTGGTCGAATTTCTCGGATTGAGCTCATCTCTATGTTTTTTTTTAGGAAGAATTAAACTTAGAATCAAATCAATTAATCACTCGGTTTTCAGACATTTAAAATATTATACATAAACTCTTTAAAGTTTGTATTCACGTAACAGTTAGACTCCTATTATAAATATATTCATTAATAAATTATACTTAGACTCCTCTACAATTTTTGAGTATATAATACTTAGACCATTTAAGTTTAAAATATTATATTTAGACAAAAAATACTTCAATCAAATATAAAATATTAAATATTTTAAATTTTAAAATAAAAATTTACTTTCTATTGTATCATTTATTGAAATAAAATTAAAATTTTAATTTTAATTTTTTTAAAAAAAAATTGTAATTATTATACGATTATATTATCTATTGGAATAAAACTAAAAAATCAAACAATGGGTCAAAGTCATTCATAATAGAACATGAATTTAAAAAAAAAAACATAGTTAGTATATATTTATACTATCTATTAAAACAAAACTAAAAAATTAAACAAATAATCAAATTATAATGGATACAATATCTTTTAGATTTAATTAGGGTAGTTTCATATTTTAATTTGGTCGTTTAAATGACTAAATTAAATTCTAATAGACAATATAATTATATATTAATTACAATTTTTTAAGAAAAAATTAAATTTTTGTTTTTGATTTTGTTTCAATAAATGATAAAATAGAACATGAATTTTAGTTGTAAAATTTAAAATATTTTATATTTTATATTTAATTAGAGCATTTTTTTGTCAAAATATAATATTTTAAATTTAAAAGGCCTAAGTATTATATATCTATAAACTTTAGGGGATAAGTATCATTTATTAGTGAATATATTTACAATAAAGATCTAAGTGTTATGCACGTACAAATTTTAAAAATCTATATATAATATTTTAAATATTATAAAATCTAAATAATTAAGCCACAAATCTCAAGAGCGCGAATGTAATTCTCCCTTCTCTTTTAATTTTCTCCTTGACGAATCATTCGGTACACATTTAAGTAGGACCCACAAAATACTCTCTATCTCTGAAATCTTTTTTTTTAAGTGGGACCCATATCACCTAAAAAAATTGAAGAAAAAATATTCCGGAGAGAATTTCACTTTAAAATTTTCTCTCTTGTGATTGGGAAATTTAGCGAATTTGAACCAACATTATAAATATTTGAAATTTGTTAAACATCTATTATTGGTTATTTATTTTTGGTTAACGAAACACCAATCTGTTACACATGATTTTATTTTTAATTAAAAATTTATAAATTTTATTGAAAGTCAGTAATGTGTGGGGATGATGATAATAAGAAATAGAAGAACGTGGTTTTATTTAATTTCTCCACTCACTTAGTATAAACAATTCAATCAAAAATGGCTATAAATTTAAAAAAATAGCAATTTACAGGTTGGTTTAATGGATTTTCCAACTAGTCTTGTGCCTCTTTACCTAACTTTTAAAAGTCAAAGAGTCGAGTATAAATTCTATATATATATGACTCAATTTGGTTATTAATCGTATTGTGTCAGATTCTCTAGTCTATGACATCGGTACCGTGCTGAAATTTATAATTTTTGAAATCAAGTAATACTTTTTTTATATAAAAATTACAATCGAAAAAGTGATGGAAGTTAATAAAAATATTTGTGATTACTTTTATCATTGATATGGTATTAAAGAAAAATAATTATCACAATAATGATAAAAATATTTATAAATATATTAATTTTTTTTATCAATAAAAAATATCTATACTCATTAAAATAATAAATTTTAAAAGAACGGTATCGATTATTTATTTGGTACCATATTCAGGTAATAGAATTGTATGCTGAACCAAACCACCCACGCGCAGCCATACTTGACGTCTGGCCATGAAATAGGTGGAAAATAATATTTTTTTATTCGTATCTAGAAGAGAAATACAATTACGCAACGCAATCACTATAAATTTTATTTTCTTTTTACTAATGATGCAGTTTTTTCCTGTGCCAATTAGCGTTGAGTTCCCCAAAGAATGCACAGTGATTATGAGGTAGTCGTGTTACCACTAGGCTACTTAATTTGACTCTCTATTTCAAATATTTATTGATAAATATTTAACATATCACTCACATCTTAGTACTCTACATCACTTGAGCAATTAAACACTCAAGTCATCGTAGCCTTTTACAGTGAAGTAGGTTATTTTGACCAAACCATTTAAATTATATTTGCTTTCCTTCTTTATTACTGCATTTAATTTTTGACAGATAGTGCACAAATACATTTTTTACGTCAATATATTTTTTGTGTTAATTTAATTGTGCCCACTCATGACCTGCATCCCTTTTGTTTTATCTGAAGTTATTTACCCCTCCCCAGAGGTTTTCATCGCACGCTGAATCACTTTGAGACCAAGAGACAAGAGAAAGTAGTTAAAGAAGTACAAGTCACCAGTTTTTCAATGCTTTAAGTTCAACTAATGACAAATTTACAACAACGGGGTTATTCTATGTTATTAGTAGATGTGTTAGTCATAGATTTAAATAATCACTTTATACTTTACCCAATGCCCCCTACAAATAAATAGTAGAGATTTATTAAGTCAAACACCAAGTTGTTTCTCAGTGTGTGACATGTCTGAGTCTCTTTGATTCATTTCAGGATAAAAAAATACTCTATAAGTTGTCATTAAAGCACCCACTCATAAATGACTTCCCGATTCTACCTCTAGTTGAGACGAGTTCTTAATAACAGGATCCATCAAAACCTAACACAAAATTAGTAAGTAAGAGTTCAGGATTAAAGAGTCTAGTTCATAATATGATTAACTTGTAACATCTATTTAATAAATTAGTCAATACAAATTTAACAAAATATATCTTATACATGATACGAACTCAACACAGCACAAACTTAGCTAACTGTCAATGAATTGAGTATGAATTAAACAAAATTGTAGCACAACATAAATCAGATTATAAATAAATCGGATGCTACATAATTCGTCAATTTGAGTGTTATTTTTTCCCAAATTACTTTGTGTTTTCCTTCCTAAATTAAATGAGGTGTTATTAGATTTTTAAATATATAATTTTTAACTAATATTTTGAAGTGTTTGGAATCCATTATAAAAAAAATTAGAATCAATTTTAAATATCCCAAAAAATTATAAATGAGTCTTCAAAAAAAAAAGGTAACATGGACTTATCCTAAAGAAAAAGTAGCCGTCCTAAGTGTCAATGTGTGTGTATAGGGGGGCACACACACATGCACGTATTGACCTGAATGTTTGGTTCAAATGCTTTCTCTTATCAATCAGCTTTGGTCAAATCCATCCTGCCCAGCATGGCGGCTTTCTTATGTCTATTTATATTCTCATGCAAAGCATTGGTGAGTTAGTTTAGGTCTTGCTTTTCGTTGTCAGTGAGAGTTTTTATTTGAATTTTTTTTTTGGGTATTCTGTAAATTAGTCTTTGTATTGTATTAAAACTAGTTACTATTGGAATGTGTAAGTCACGGCTCAATAAGATCGATTGGTGATTGACTAAAAAAAGTCACGGCCCAATAAGATCAATTGGTGATTGACTAAAAAATTAAGGTTATATCCTAACCTATTGAGATCTCAATGGATTGCAACTCAATTCATCTTGAATCAATACCTTAAATTTTTCCTTTTATCTTTTAGTTGTATAAGTTGAATAACAAGAGGATTAGTATTGTTTATTCCCTACCTATTCTCTCTCTCTCTCTCTCTCTCTCTCTCTCTCTCTCTCATACATATACCCACGGTCGAATGTTCAATTCCATGGCATTGTACATTTCATCAATGTTGTAAGAAGTTATTTGTGGTTTTAGATATGGCAAAACTAATAAAAATTGACGAGTCACTTCAGAATTAATTTGGATTCATTTGGTGATTGGAATATCACTCTCAAATCAGCCATGCTCTCCGGGCACCCCCAAAGGCCTGCAGAGTTTTCCAAGCCCAATTACCAACATTCAGGTTGTGCAGGATGCTTGGTTTGAGTTCATGGGAAAAAAAAAAACTAGCTCTCCAAAATTCTTATAAAAGCATGACAAAAGCGCCAAAAAATAACATAACCAATAACAAATATGAAAATTTTGAAATAACAACATAAGCGAAATAATATATTGAGTTTCTGATAGGACTTCGCGTGGTTCAGCAGCCCCCAAATTGACACGTGGGTAGATAGTCGTTGTGGAGTTCAAAAGGCGTCAGGAGATAACGTCAAGGAATAATGGCTCGGAGGAGCCGAATACACAGACTGCAACCAGTATTTAAGAAGATATGACAACTCATTAATGAGAAGTTGAGTGACTGTGACATGACTATTAATAAATCTCTGCATTCTCGAGACCCAAACTGACAGTCATCATTGTCAAGGCATTAATGGTCATTACCCCGACTAGATGTCCTCAGGAAGCCCCGAGGTTCTGTTCCCCGAGCATTAAACACTCAAGAATATGTGTCAAACACCGAGTAGATGGACTTAAATGACCGAAGATAGGGTCATATATGCTCAGCATGCACCGAACAGGCATCTCATCGCCCGTATGAACTAGTCATGAGAATTTGAGTAAAGAATACTCATTACGAATGAATATGAGTGCAAGTCATTAAATGTTGAGATGTGACTCCAAATCCTTACACTCATTGCTAATTCAAGTATAAATACTCTTTCAAAAAATGAGCAAGGGTACACAAACTAAACTGAGAAAATACACTGTGCTAAAAGCCTCCAACGCTCACTAACTTACACTTCAGAGGGGATAAACCGGGTGTTCACCTGACCTCTTTCCTAATCTCTGTTGATCATTTCAGATTCATCATCCAGTAGATCGCTATCTCTATTTATTGTAGAGGGAGACCTTGAATGTAGCCCATTTCTTTCTCAACTTTTGGCCAGCATCTCGTTAAAACCACCAGCTTCTTCTTTCTTGTCGTTGAGTCTCTTCTTCGTGTCTTCTAACTCATACTCAACAGAGCAAAATTAGGGCAAGTTTTAGTTTGAAATCGTGGAGTTTCATCTTAGGTTAAATTTTATACAGATTTTTGTAATTAGATCAAATGACATAGACACCCCTGATAATTTTAAAATGACATTGTAATCTTAATCCATGTTAAAAATTGATCGGTGTTAATTATTTGAATAAATAAATTTTTGTATCCTTCATTTTGTACTATGCTCTTCAAAGAGCAACTCCTCTAAAAATTTTCTCATCTGTTTGTTTAACAAGAATTTATTAGAAAATACTAGAAAGAGAAAATTTTAAAATTTTACATATATTTTTTTAGGATGAAATAGAAATGATAGAAAAAATAATTTTCTCTCATGTTTAAATTTTCTCACATCTAACTAATTTTTTTTTCTTGCAAAAAATACAAGAAAAAACAAGAAAGTTGTATTCAATAACTTAACTTCCCATTTTACCCTTATTTTTCTTAAAATATTCAATTAATTATTAATTTTAAATAAATGTGTACAAATTAGGCTAATCATATAATTTGGTTTAGAGATTAATGTTCGAGTCGATCTTTGTTCTTGAATTAGGTTAGGAGCCAATTTTTTTAAAATTTGAATAATAAAAAATATGTTTTTCTTTTTTAGACCAACTTAAAATACTTAAGGATAATTTAGATAATTAGAAAAAATTTCTTATAACTTTCATTTTTTTCAAACAATAGAATGAGATTGTTTTAAAATTTTTTTAGAAATTTTTCATACTAACCAAATATATGCATGAAAATATATTTTCTTTTGATTTCTTTTCTTTTACTTTACTTTCTAACTATAAAATATTTGGTTTTGGAGGTTAATGTACTCAGTTCTCTAACTTCATATTGGTTTGCGAGTCTTGTGCACAATTGCCTGGCTTAGAGCTAGTTACTCATGCCCATCATTGAGATTACATGGCCCCGAAAGTCCTCTATGATTTATCTTTTGTGGGCCTTTGAAAGTATAGTTCCTATGACTTGATAAACTCTCATGTCACTCTCATATAGCATCCATATCTGGTTAGGATTGATGTCACCTTTTTAAGTTGAATGTGGCGAATATAATTGGGTAAAACTTTCTCAATTTGGTTATATGTTGAGTACATCATCTAGATCCATGTTTTATTTAATTTTTTTATGCGAACACGAGATGTTCAAAATTACCCAAAAATCAAACACATCAAGTCAGCTGTGTTTGAAATTCGAACTTAAAGTATTAAAATATTATTCATTGAAATCTTAGTTGCTGATTGGATTTATTTTTAGTAAAAATTAGAAGTGAGTCACTTATATATACTTGTTTGGAGATAAGTTCTGCAACGAAACTTATAAAAGGCTAACTTCATGTTTAAAATTATATGTAATGACTTAAGTCTATTTTTTTTTTATCTAAAAAATACCCTTCCTTGAAAGGAAGTTGATATTTTCTCTCTGACATCTATCTATATCCATATATAGGTTAAGAATTTAATTAAAATTAAAATTTTTCCTCTCTTTTATCTATCTATATCCATATATATGTTATGTATATATATAGAGAGTAATATTAAAAATAAAAAATAGTAACATTCAAATACAAAAAAAAATTACTATGAATTTGAATAGTAAAATTTAAATTTATTTTACTATTTTTTTTATTATGTTACTATTTATGTTACTGCTTTTGTTGAGTATGTTACTATTATTTTTGAGCATGTTACTGTTTTTGTTGAGCATGCTACTACTATTGTTTTCTTAAATATTAATATTCAATATTACTATTTTTTTTTTGAATATTACAATTTTTTCTATTTGAATGGTACTATTTTGCGTTTGAATTTGAGAAAAATAATTATTGTTAAGTATGTTATAGTTTTTTTTAAGCATGTTACTATTTTTGTTGAACATTTTAATATTTTTGTTGAACATATTACTGTTGTTATTTTTTAAAAATATTAATAATGAATGTTTCAAATTTTTTTATGTTTAAATGTTACTATTTTTTTGTTTTTAAATGTATTATTTTTTGTGTCCAAATGATAAATTTTTTTTTGTATTTGAATGTTACAATTTTTTATTTTTAATGTTACTATATATATATATATATATAGATACACACACATAATACAGTACACACACTCAACAAAAAAATATTAACATCAAACAGTAACAACCTCAACAAAAAAATAGTAACATTAAACAGTAATACACTCAACAAAAAAATAATAACATCAAACAGTAACACAAAATATTTTTATTGAGTGTATCACTGTTTGATATTATTATTTTTTTGTTGAGCATGTCATTGTTTGATGTTACTATTTTTTTGTTGAGCGTGTCACTATTTGATTTCATTGTATTATGTGTGTATGTGTATATATATATATATATATATATATATATTCAAATGATACATGAATATCAAAAGAAATCTTAAAAATCTTATTCTAATCTTGAAAGTCTCACATTCAATTAGGTATGCACTATTTATGGTATGGGTAATTATGAAATACATTTTAGAAAAAATTTTAAAATATGTATTTAATGACAACTATTTGATAAAAAAGAGAAATTAAAGGAGAATAAGTTTGAAAGTGTTACTTAAAGTCAAATAAATTTAAAAAAAAAGTACTCACATCCGATTATTTCTATTTTTATCCGTAACAAAACAGTCCATCATCCTTCATGCTGGACCAAAAGAATTATAAGCCCAACATATACAGAGCCCATATTTACTACCATTGCCAACTCCGTTTATTTTTTAACGTCGTTGATTTGATCCCAGTCCGTTAACCAACTCCCGACTCGAAAAACTTTCCACCGTATCCATGGCCCGTGTGACACGATCTCCTAATTTTCTTCGGTTTCGTCTTCCTTCTTCGAAAACCATAAATTTACACTCCCATTGCATCCCAACAAATATCTCATCAATTCACACCCAAAACCCCAAATTCCACCTTCCAATCCAAAAACCTAATTCTATATTTTGAAGAAAACGTCACACAGATCATCGTAAAACCATAAATTTCTAGATGTTTTTCGAGTTACATACCCTAATCATCTGATAATTCGCTTTCAAACCTCTTTTTTTTTTCCAAATTATATTGAATTTATGGTTCTATGGATTACAAAGACGAGGATTCATCAATGGAAATATATAACACTGGAAATTCAAGTGTGTATCGACTCATGAACGGGCCATTGTCGGGAGGTTGGTTGGAAATTCGCTTATTTTACGTCCGTATATCGCCGTGCGTGGTTCACACCGTTCCCGACCACCTCACGCTTCGCCATCTCCGTCGTGAAATCGGAGTCTCCCTTGAAATCAATGGCTCAGGTATCCCGGCCTCGAACACAGCTTCAATGACTCTCCGGCGCGATCGTGTCGATAAGGAGTCCTCGGAGGTGACATATGTGAGTACGGACAGTGTTAGGGTTTCTGGGGCTGTCGAATTTGAGGTGCATGAGGATGAATTGATTTTGTGTGGGTCATTGGAGAGAATGGAGCCCAATTGGTGCAATGGGAGTGTAGAGGGTGGTTCCAAGACGGGGTGGACAATGGACTGTTACACTGCGGCGACGATTGCAAGTGGTTCGTCGGCGTTTTTTCAGCCAAAATTGGGCGTTTGTTCGCCGTCTATTGAGGTTTATATTGCCGGGTGTTGCTCAGGAGTGCCTGTGATTTTGACGAAGACAATTCTGGTTAGTCCGAGGAGGAAAGTGACGAGGCAGTGGATGCTAGATTCTATTCCGGAGGATGAAGAGATTGGGAAAGAGCAGAGTAGTGAAAGTGGTTTGGTCAGGCGGAAAATGCGGGTAATGTTTCCATGTCGGTGAATTTGGTTTGATTTTCTTGTTATATGTTTGTTTTTTACTGAATTGGTGTGTGTGTGTGTGTGTGAGCTCTTTATATTGAGCTTGTTGCATGCTAATTTTTCTGGGCAAGTGATTGTCTTTTGGATGAATTAGCAATGGGATTGTTTATTTTAGATTAGATGTCTAGTCCCTTTTTCTCAGGCAGGGAAACATGATTCAAATCTTAGGCACTTTTCACATAAAGCTGATTGATGCAAAATTTTCATGTAGTGTTTGTTGATTTGCCAACTCACATCGTAAGGCCCGAGGAAAATTTGGGCAAGTGCTTAAGAAATTGAGTATGAGTGGAGGATTTTGGGTTATTTTTGTTTCCAATGATGGAGATGTAGCTACATGAGAGTCATACCAGTTTGATATACTAATTACATAAGGCTGACTTTGAGTTTTTATTGTTTTGCAATTGTTTGGCTTCAGCCAACTAGGCATATCGAGGAAGAAGTGTCTTGCTTTAGTTGTTTGTTAATGATGATGTTTTAGCTACAAATTTTGGGGTAAGTATATATGGTAGCCTACATTTGGGTTTAAATCAATAAGTATCACAGTAGTTGTAGATTAGTAGGTAATAATATGTGGAATTTGATTTAAGTGGATAATCCAAGATAATGAAGAGGGCCATGCTTGGAGATGATGTTATCCTATACAGCTATACAAATTCAAAGTAGGATTAGTTGGAGTGCTTTTAGACTACTGTGTTTATGTACAACTGGATACTAAAACTCAGTGAATCTTATGAAAAGAGAAGGCCAATTTTTTCAGCCATGCTTTGTTGTGAGAGGTTGGGCTAATTGAGGTAGATAGACATGAAATTAGCTGTGGTAAAGGCTTTTCATACATGAGTTGCAGCTGAGATGTTAGAGTCATAGCTGGTAGGAACTGCAAAAAAAAATTGGAGGCACAGCTGTTGAGAAGTGTAGTGGATTCAATTGAAAAATACATTACTAGATCATTGAAAGAATAAAAAGATGCATCTGCTTGACAAATTATTGTGATTTCAGAGATATAGTGTAACTTTATGTGTAGTGGAACCAAGAAAAATTTACTAGCAGGGTTTACGGTAGATAAGAATTTGTTTATTTGAGTTGAGTTGCTGATTGTATCAAAAATGATGAGTGCAGAAAACTAGTAATTATAATTAAAAATAGATTACACCAATTAAAATCTGAGAGCTTAGAAAAAATGGAGTTCAGGGATGGCTGAGTGACTTAAAGACATGACTTTAGAAGTTTAATAAATACACAGTGGCTTCAAACCAAGTTTTTTTCTTGCTAAATTTTTATTTTGGATTTCCAGTATGCTAATATAAGTTGAATTTGGGTCATCATTTCTATTATTCACACCAGGTTTTAAACTTGGTTTACAATTAGGCATTATAGTCAAGTTGAAACTGGATATTGGTATTGGTGTGCTTATATTATTGTTGTGTGTGCATCTAAAATACAAAAGACTGCTTGTCACACTAATGATTTTGGTACTAGTTCAATTTATTTTAAAGCATGATAACAACATAGATTGATTCAATGAGTGAGATTTTTCTATGCCAGATAAATCAACACTTAACTAGCATAAGTGTGGGCCAACAGCCAAAAAGTTCACCTTTCTTTGAAACAAAAGCTAGACCATCATAATATCTATCCGCAATTGATTTATATTTGAAATACCTCTTTTGAAATTCAGAAGATCATGAAATACATTTTCTTGTCATCGAGGAGGGTTCTTTTACTTTCATTGGTTCTATGAGCTTCTTTGACAATAAAAGCACAAGCCCACCTCCACTCCCATGCGCGTGCACGTCTCCTCTCTCTCGTGCACACATTTATCTCTCATCTTTGTTTAGTAATTACAAAGGAAAGGGGTATATAAACACTTGTAAGAAAACCTTGAATTGGTACCCATAAATTCTAATATTAAATCCTATGTGTAGAGGTGATAATGAGAGCATGAACCACTTAGTTTTGCATTTTCCTTTGGCACGAGCATTATGGAATAGGCTTTTTGACTTTATGGGTTTTGCATGGGTTGCTCCAAGAAGTATGAAATTTATGTTTTGTTTGGATGATGTGGGTTGTGAAGGAAATACTAAATGGAAGACCATTGGTATAGTGCTTTCTTTGTTACATTATGGGTGATTTCGAAAGAAAGAAATGTGAGGATTTTCGAGAACAAATGTGAAGATTTTGAGGGCTTTGGGAAAGGATTCATTTTTTGCCTCTTTTTGAGCCTCAATGTCTAAGGACTTTCAAGATAGTCCTCTCATTTGTATTAGAATAAGGTGGAAAGCATTTTGCGGGTTGTTGTTTTGATTATTTCTTATGTTGCCATTGGCCTGTATTGTGTTGGATTTCTTGTCCACACTGGATGTAGTTTTTTTTTGTTTGTAATTTTCGCCTTTATTTATCAATAATATGTTGTCTCTTAACGAAAAATATTTCATCCTTAGTAACTAATGTTTATATTCATTGTGATCCCTTTTGGGGCTTGTGCAGATCTCAGAGGCAGATGTTGACGACTATGAGTCAGATGGAAAAGTTGGACACGGCTATTATGCTGAAGACATGTACCCTGGTGAGGATGGCCAACTCTCATGGTTCAATGCTGGTGTAAGAGTTGGGGTGGGGATTGGCCTTGGAATGTGCCTTGGTGTTGGAATTGGTGTTGGACTGCTCATGCGCTCGTATCAAGCAACCACCAGGAATTTTAGGAGGAGGTTCTTCTGAATCTGATCTCTTCAATTAAAGTCACATAGTACTGGCTAAATGATACAGAATTGAAAACGGAAAGTTTTGGAATTTTTATTTAGAGAGAAGGATTTTACTATTTTAGGATGGCAGCTAATGAAGTGAGAAGTACATATTTAAGGATTTTAACAGTAGACTGCGGGTGGAAGGTTGGACAATGTCTAGGGTCACCTGAGATGTTGCTCTAATGGAAGTTGCAATGGTCTTCTATCTTATACCTATAACTGAGTGGTGGTACAGCGAAAAATATGGTTATATACAAGTCTCATGATAATTCTACGATCAATTTATATGGCTATGCCTGGGAGAAAAGACGTATCTGATGTTTAGCGTTATGTAGATATTTTGCCTTGTTTGAAGTTTCTTTGGAGGTTTATACCATGGTGGTTGTTGTAGGACTTGTAACACTTTCTTTTTGTTTTTTCCTCTCAAATTTCTTTCTTGGTTTTTGTTTGCTTCTTTTTTACCATGTATCAACTTTTTGATGTTTTGCATTCTTCCATTACTTTGATTGTTGCAATAAGTTGCATTTGTTCAATAAGAAGAATACATGTTACAACTCCTGGATTTAGTTCTGTCGTTCTTTTCATATTGTTCTTAGACACTTTTGGGCCATTCCAGGAGATTCTCTCTTCCTGAAGATGGTACTTCTTCACTCGTCAAAACTTAGAGAGAAAGAGGAACTTCTTGGAAGTTTTATGGTAACAGCAGTATTTGTGCCAGAGTTTTTGTTACAGCAAAGTATTAGTCTTTCTCGTTGGCTATATTTCAGGTCCTACAACACGATCCATTCATTTTGGTGGATATAATTTTCAGTCATCTCTGAACTTATGTTCTGCAGCTGAATAGTGTATGATTTGTAACATAATTAGCAACCCAGGAGCTCATTTGAGATCTGATAAGTTTTGTTGTCAGCTTCTAGTGCGGCCCTCCTCTTTTAACCCGGCTTGGACCGGTTACATAGTTATTTCATGAATCTGTTATTAGGGCACTGTCTGCAGCAGACCTTGTAGTTTTGAACTTCCCTCAGCATAACCATATTATGCACTTTGTAATTTCTATAGAATTCAGACATGAAGCTCATTGCTGGTCCATCCACTTGGTTTTTAACAGTTTTTTCTACCCTGGCCTCTCTATCTTTCTCTCTGGAACAAAGCTATTAATTTGAAATGTGTCTTAATCTACATGCTTGCTTGAGAATAGTCAATGAATATACATCTCTCTCACCTGGCCTCCAAGTTACCACTGTAAGCATTCCTAACACTTCAGAGCTTCCCACTATTATGCCTGGACACCGTCTTAGGAGGGTCAGGTTTTGGTACAAAGGTAAGATTGTTTCCTTGTGTTTTAAACATCAAATATTTGAGTCTTATAAATAGCTTCCTCTACACAGGCTAAGACTGAGTCTAACATTTCTTAAATTTTTTTCTTTAGCATTTAAAGTAAAAATCAAGCACATTATCCATGAGAAAGTTCCAAGCCCTAATCATTCTACTCTGTGGACAGTATATTAACAATTATATGCATTGCCATAATGACACTAGAAGTATTTTGTTTTTGTGCCAATAGAGAACATTGGTGCAAGCAAGCAACTATGGATCTAAAGGGTGGGCAGGATAACAAATCCCAATATTCAAAAATATTAATATTAAAAGTTACTTTTGATTATATAGATTTTACCCTGCAAATATATATATGTTTTTTATATCCTCAACTCTTTGAAACACTCATCAAAAGAGTTTGGTTCTGTCATTGGGTAAAAGAATAACTCTATCTCGAAGAGTTAATATCATATAATGTTTTGCTGATCTAAAATTGTTGAAGATGTAAATAAATCTTGCCCAGTAAAAATAGGAACTTAGATATTATCGATTAGTATTCTTCTTAGAACATGCAACACATAATTATCAGTACCATAAAAGTTACCAACACCTTGGGAAACCTTTTGGCCCAACTTTAAATGGGAAATAGTATAAAGAACCCAACTTTTTTTTGAACTAAACTCCAACCCCAAATTTAAAAAATTAATGTTCAGTGCATCTCCAAACCTTACTCAAATTTAAAATTATATTTAAATTTAAGTAAAAAAGTTAAAAAACTTACTCTAACCCTCGACTCAAATATATACCAAATGAGGAAAACTCATTTTTTTATTCAAATAAAGAGAAATTCAAATTTTTATTTAAATTTTTAATTGTGAGATTTTACCGTCTTTTAAAGATCCAATGATCATCCTTATTGTCTTTTAAATTTAAATTTGTTCTCATTTAAATTTGAATCTCTCATTCTTTATATATGAGATTATTAATTAGAGTCTTTTATATCAAATTAAATTTTTTATTCAAATATTAATTTAAATTTGAATAAAAATTTGAGTCAACGTTGCTCTTGTAAAGATTTGGTGGACATAAGAGAAATTAAGTATTCTTCAAGGACATTTATGGGAAAGAGAGAACGATAGTAGATAGCACAGAGAGGGAGATGACTAGGGTCTCAGTGAAAGCCCGAAAGGACGTTTCAGCCTCTGGAACCTCAAAACACCACAACCACTGTGAAAGAGAGAAGAAGACGATGAATGTGAAGAGGGACAGAGACTCGAGTAGTACATCCAGATCTCATGCGACAATGCCCCACCATAATAATCCTACACCTTCGTCTCGCCCTGTGGTGGTAACTCTCAATTGCATCGAGGACCCAACCCCAGAGCAAGACTGCCTTGCTGGAATTGCAGTGGTCGAACACGTCCCACTGAGTCGACTCACGGAGTCACGAATCGAGTCAGCCGCCGCCGTGTGTCTCCACTCGCTAGCCTTCCTCCCACGCGCCGCCCAGCGCCGCCTCAAGCCATGGCAGCTTATCCTGTGTCTTGGCTCATCTGATCGCGCCGTTGACTCCGCCCTCGCTTCTGACCTCGGACTCAGCCGCCTAGTCCACGTCGATGTTAGCCGAGCTGAGGAGGTGGCCGATACCGTCATGGCTTTGTTCCTTGGATTGCTTCGACGGACTCATTTGCTATCACGCCATGCGCTATCGGCTTCGGGATGGCTCGGATCGGTTCAGCCGCTGTGTCGGGGGATGAGACGGTGTAGAGGGCTTGTGTTGGGGATTATTGGTAGATCTGCGTCTGCGAGGTCTTTGGCTACTCGGAGCTTGGCTTTCAAGATGAGTGTGCTCTATTTCGATGTTCGCGAGGTACAATCTCGATAAACCCTACAGATTTAGTGCTACATTCAGTTGATTCTTTACTAAAATGTGGGTAATTTATTTAATTGATTGGCATTCCACTAACTGAAATGTGATTAGTCATGCGCACAAACAAGTCATGGTGGAGCGATTTATCACTACATTCTACAGTTTCATAGTTACCGTGTGAAGTCAGTACGATCGAACAATCTAATGCTACTTCTAGTCAATCTTAACTAAATTATATGCCATTAGCTCCAGTGTGAGTCAGCTTTTGACAATCCGCGTTGGTGTTTCAGCTTCAAAAAATTCATGTGATGTGCTCTATTTTAGTGTTTTCTGGTAATTGCGGACCAGAATGTTTGCTTTTTTATTTTTCTGCATTAACTATTGGAGATACAGAATCAACAGATTAGATATGAAATTACTATAACTAATTTGAAAAGATATTTGAGAAGTGAACAAATCGGTTATAATCATAGATGTAGCATGCCCTTTAGTTGGGATGAGTCATATAACATCATGTGGAAGGGGGTGAGATTTTGGGAAGAAAGGAATAGTGATGGGAAGGCAGTTGTTTTTCTTAATAATCCACGTTTTTATTTTCATTGTGCTCTATTACAAAAACCAAAAGGATCCTTAGTTTGGTTTGCTTGTTACAGGTTTGACATCGCAGCCGAAATGGCATGAACAAGCCAAAATTGATAGAGGTGTGAAATCAGGGGTCATTTCTTGCCTGGCTGATGTCATACTTTCTTTTCTTAACATAGAATAAATTTGATAACTGCTGCTGAAGCATAGAACATGAAGAACATAAATTCCTATATATTAGAATGAAATTTTTGCTTTAAGAATCATGAACGAAAACTAGTTGCATACTTTCATTTTCGAATTGATAGTATCGATAAGCTTTGTGAATATGTATGAGTTATCACCTTTATTCATTATACGCTGATAGGAAAATGCCCTGCCCCCGTTTCAGCTTTTGATAAATATTTCATATCACGTGCTTTATCCTGATTATTCTCTTCTGAATTACATCTCACAGGGAAATGGAAAAGTAAGTAGATCTTCCACAACATTCCCTCCTGCTGCTCGAAGAATGGATACTCTTAATGATTTACTGGCTGCAAGTGATCTTGTCTCACTCCATTGTGCCCTGACAAATGAAACTATTCAGATTATCAACGCAGATTGTTTGCAGCACATAAAGCCTGGTGGTTATTTAATTTTATATTGTTCTTCAGATAAAAATTTCAAAAGAGGAAGTTTTGGGGTTCCTCCTATTTGCACTTAAGAAATGACTTTTTGTACAGGGGCATTTCTTGTAAATACCGGCAGCAGTCAGCTACTGGATGATTGTGCTGTAAAGCAGCTTCTGATTGATGGCACCCTAGCAGGCTGTGCTCTAGATGGTGCTGAAGGGCCACAATGGATGGAAGCATGGGTATGATGAGTAGTCTTAGGGTATGAGTATATGATATGGAATGTTTGTCACTTTGTTGAGCATAGTTGTTTTTCAGTGTCAATTCTTTTTCATGATTTATGTGGTTCTGCATGTATGCTTGGTGGATAATGTTCGTTAAACATTGCTCGTTTCTTCTTCTTTTTTTTTTCCTCTTGTTTTGGTCATTTTTTAATTTGGTTTTTGTTTTTTGCTACCCCATGCCCCAGGGGGAGGTGGGATTTCCTCATATGGCATTCAATGGTATACTTCACTATAAGATTTTGCAAAATGGTTGTTTAATTTTCTTTCAACCTCTATCCTACATGAAACTAACATGGGTAGTCCACATTTGGTTGTGCATTACAGCCATTCAGTGACTTCTAACTCCAAGTTTGAATTAGTGCACCTATAATGTCAGTAAAGGACCCTGCAATAAATTAATTTTATACCCCAGTACCTGAACCTTTTTGGTTTTTATTTTCGTCTTAGAGTGGAGAT